GGGGTGTCCCTGTCCCCATTTGGGTCAGGGTGTCCCTGTCCTCATTCGGGTCGGGGTGTCCCTGTCCTCATTCGGGTCCCCCCAGGGGTGTCCCTGTCCCCATTTGGGTCAGGGTGTCCCTGTCCCCATTTAGGTCCCCAAAGGGGTGTCCCTGTCCCCATTTTGGTCCCCCCAGGGGTGTCCCTGTCCGCATTTGGGTCCCCCCAGGGGTGTCCCTGTCCCCATTTGGGTCCCTGCCATCCCCATTTTCACTCAGGTGTCCCTTGTCACCCCCTCAGTGTCAGGTTGGATTCTCGTCCCCTCTGTCCATTTGTGCCCACCCTCCCCCTGTCCCCACTGTCCCCATTGTCCCCTCCGTGTCCCCATTGTCCCCTCCGTGTCTCCCCCAGATCATGCACGGGGGACTCTTCAGCGAGGACGGTGTCACCCTCGATGACATCCGCAAGATCGAGCGGAACCGGCAGCCCCCGGACTCAGGTGGGACGGGGACACCCCCCGAGGTGTCCCCGAGGCGTCCCCGAGGTGTCACCAAGGTGCCACCAAGGTGTCCCCAACGAGGGGCTGAGCTGTGACACCCCTGTGTCCCCCCAGGGCCGATGTGTGACCTGCTCTGGTCTGACCCCCAGCCCCAGGTGAGCTGTCACCCCCACCTTGGGGACATCCCTTGCCCTGTCCCCAGGTTCTGGTGCCACCCCTGTCATGTCCCGGGTCCCAGTGCCACCCCTGCCATGTCCCAGTGCCACCCCCTGCTCTGTCCCCAGGTCCTGGTGCCACCCCTGTCATGTCCCTGGGTTCCAGTGCCACCCCTGCCATGTCCCAGTGCCACCCCCTGCCCTGTCCCCAGGTTCTGGTGCCACCCCTGTCATGTCCCGGGTCCCAGTGCCACCCCTGCCATGTCCCAGTGCCACCCCCTGCCCTGTCCCCAGCTCCTGGTGCCACCCCTGTCATGTCCCTGGGTCCCAGTGCCACCCCTGCCATGCCACCCCCTGTGGTGTCCCCACGGTGTCCCCACGGTGTCCCCTCCATGTCCCCACGATGTCCCCATGTCCCCAGAACGGCCGGTCGGTCAGCAAGCGGGGGGTC